GTCTACCTATATAATTGCTAAGGGTCCACATCTTAATGGCACATCATCATCAATCAATCAATCAATCAATCAATCAATAAGGCACAAGAGGGCAGCCTTCTATACAGTTTTGTTGACTTCCTGCCCTCTTTAGATTTCTTTCATGGATGATACTGGCAGGAGTCAAGTTATCCTTAGTAAACAAAACAGTTACTAGAACTGCTGATACAGGACTCTTGGAAAGGGAAAACACATTTCTGACAATGAAAGACCATGCAACCCTCTCCTTATATTCTCTTTAAAGTTCTTTCATATGGGCCTTTGGGAAAGAAAACACTATAGCCTGGACTAATCTGCTTTCATGCATATTTAAACATGACAGGGAGTAGAGCTGAGATCCAAAGTAGATGTAAGTTAAGACCGTTTGTTTGTCGGTTGGAGTCTGGGGACAGGGGGCAGGCTTTCTGAAGAAGCTTGTGGGCTGATTGGGGAACCTCTACTTGCTATCTTTCGGCTGATATCTTTCTTTATAGGGCTGTGCAGTTCAGATAATGCCCAGAGAGAGAACCAAGAGACTCTCTGAAGCAGCTGAGTGAAGGAGATGGCTGCTTTAATGCTCTATGGAGAGATGTTGTACTTGAACTAAAATGCTTTTTAAAAGCACCTCTTTTGAATGCTTTGCATAGCTCTATTCCTTTGTTTTAAAGAAAGGGTGGGTTATCCAGGTGGTCGTTGTTTTTTGTTTTTCATCAGGATAGGATTTTATTCAGACAAAGGCTCCCACAACCAAAGTAAGATGGTGATTTTTTTTCATTCTCCTGCTCCTTACAGCTTCCTATATCATAGTTAAATTGCTTTGGATGTTGGTTCACTCTATTTTGAAGCAGATTTCAGGTGACCAGGGAAAGGGAGATGATAGCAAAAATAACCTTCTGCTCCTGAAAGTATGAATTTCTCTTGGTTTGAAAACCCTGATGCTATTTCTTATTACTGACCAGATGAGCGCAACTTTTTGAGATGGCCAGGAACCATATTAAAGTTTGAGAGGAGGCAAGGAGAGTGGAAGATGTCAGGATTTTCCTTATTTTTTAAAACATGACATTGGGCCAGTTTTAGGGCTTCCACTGCAGTTTTCATTTATTTCTAATCTCGAAATAGCAAGAAAATGTCCTGCTGATATTCACTGTGGCTATCTAGTCCATCTAGTTATTTTTTAGCTCACAGGAGAGCTCAGGAGACTGCATATGGTCTTAGAGCTGCCCATTTTTGTTGCAGATTGATGAAAACATCCCTTTTTCTACATACCAGTTTGCCATGATTGGGTGCTTTTTCTTCCGTATAGCCATAAGGAAACAACAGCATCTGAGAGTAGGCATGGATGGTTATATATCCTTTGATACAGGCAAGGTGTGCGCGAATAAAGCTTGTGACTGCCTTTGTTTCTGGCTCAGATTCTGCTGAGGAACCACAATATACCGGCTCGCAAGGATCATGTAATCTATCTTCTGTGTCTACTGCAAGGAAAAATGTTAAGAAGAGATGCTTCTATCAAAGCTATTTGTATTTCTTCCCAATTCTGGTTCACAGGATGGTCTTTCATAATTTGTGCTTTATGTAACAATGCCTAAGAACTGAATTTGTGATATCAAGTTCATGTGACCCTTGAAACGTTGGTCATTTATGGAACCACACAGTTTGAGAACCCCAATCTTACAGGCATAGTTGTGATTCTTTTTTTGAACAGATACAGCTTTTTGAAAGATGGATTGGCACATCCTGATTATTAACTACTTTGCTATTTCTCATCATGTAGGGCTAACAGGACAAATTATTATTGCCATTGATTGTTGTCTTAGAGATTGCCCTTGATTCTGCTATGCATCCTATACATTAATATATTCTAGAGAAATATTAACTTCCATCCTGAAGGGACCTTGGAATCTACCGCTTTTATCCCAAAATGACTAAAGTAGCACTGTGTTATTGTGACCCAGACTCCAGACCTTTTGTATGTACATGTGAAATCACAATGCACGTATAAAAGTGCCAAAGCTTCTGATGCATCAGTATGATGCTCCTTTCACCATTTGTTTCCCCTTCACCACCCTGCAGATGTTGTTGCTTCCTTCAACTTATTCTGGGGTTGATATTTGTTTGTGGGATGCAAGGAAATCACATCCCTGCCTCGGATATATCATACATTCTACTTACAGCCCCAAGAAGCTTTGAAATTCCTGTTCAGGTCAGTGCCAATGCAATCACTGTTGGAGTTATTGGAACGATTCTTTCTCCACATGCGATCCTGTAAGGCAAACATGATTGAAGTCTATTATTTCTAATTTCTTTACTTCTTAATTCTGAAAGTATTATCTACTTGTTTGCAAACTATGTACAACTAATGTAGGTCGGGTAGAAAAGGACTATGGTCCCATCACTGCTTCCAAGCATGTTCTCTTTTGCATTATCTGCCAATGGTATAACATACAAGTGACATATATGGTTTGCTAACCTTTAATTTTTATCACTATATACATTAACTCTTGGGATTGCTTATATATTACATTTATTAGATTTCAAATCTGGACATGTTGTTTGTCAGTGGTCTGGATGAGCATAATCCCACTGTCCTACTATGCTGGTATCTAAGTAAGGATGATATTTGAGTAGTTCAAAGATGTACTCATATGAGAGGAAACTAATAAGCACCTATGTGCTGCTTATTATGCAGTGTAATTTCTTATGGATTTCTTCCTGTTCTGAACGAGGAAGGGTGTTATTTATTTATCATATTTATATAGCCGCCCATCTCACACAAGGTGACTCTTGTGTTATAATCAGTTATAATCTGCAAAAGATCAGATAATAGTATACTCATTTGCTTTAATTTGCATGTTGCATTTTTTTAAACCCTTGGAAGTAATTAACTGATATGAAGACTAATGAACCCCTAACTTATGGCCTTTTGCTGTCTTTCAGTTAAAGAAAGGATTACATGAGGAACCAGCTATGCTTTTAATACTATACATGACAGAGAAAAGAATACCAGAGGATAGATATATTCCTCTACGATTAATGTGATTTTTTTTGGTGTATGTTAGAACACAAATAATCTTTACAGATAAAAATTATATTCTAACACACATATAGTCACCAACCGTCCTTTGAAAATTTCTGCTGCCACCACAATTCATTTTAGCAAAAGAAATAGTGTTTTCTAGAAAGGAAAGAAATATGAATAGTACTTTGGTCCATGACCAGACATAACCATCAATGTTGAACACTGGAAGAACATAGAAGTTCATGTTGTCTAATAGTTTTGTCATGTCCTTGTCTATTCTGTAAGTCCTGACAGCCTGCAACAGAAAAATACATTCATATATATAAAAAAAATCTCAACAAGTTGAGAAGTTTGGCAAGATTACAATAGTTATTTTTTAAAGTATATTTTAATTCTGCCCTTCCCCCATCTATCTATAGCAGTTTACAATAATTAAAACTATAATGTAAACAATCAATTACAGTTATTTTACAGTATTTATTTATTTATTTATTTATTTATTTATTTATTTTTCCTGGCATCTAAATGATGTCAGAATTAATCCTGAGCAAATTTCTTTTGGGAAGGAAAGCAAAGAACACTCTTTCTTGAATGCCCTCTCCTGTTTCACTGAGAAAACTTCCAGGAGGGTTTCAGAAGATTATTTGGGGGCTGGAGAGATTGGTATGGAAGAATCTGAAACAAGACTTGGGGAATTAGACCAAGAGTCTATCTAGCCCAACATTCTGTATCAAACCTGTGACTAGCCAGATGCCTGCAGGAAACTCATAAGCAAGGGTAGAAAGCATACTTTTTAATATGAGGCCTAAATCAGCAGATTTATAATAACTTGTACCTTTCAGTTCCCCTCAAATAGCTGCTTCCTATAAAAATTTGCTATCTAAAAAGTTAAGGAAACAAAAAGAACATATTGTCTGCAGCAGCCCAGATAAGTAGAGATTAATACCAGACAAACAATCAAGCAGAAAACAATACCTTAATCAAGGAACTACCAAGGAGAAAATCACACTCCCACCAAAACTGGTGGGGCAAGCTACTGTATATAAACAGGGAGTAAACCCCACCCTTACTCGCACTGATCATGTTACCTACTTGGGTAATTAAATGTCTGCATACAAACAACCAAGCTCAGAGAGTACCAAGGACTCCACAGCTCAACCCTGAGCTACAGATATTCTCTCTATTGGAGCTGTTTTTTATTGCTGAATATGCTCACATGAAAACTGATGTTGCAGTGCCTGTCCTATCTTATCCTAAATATTTAATCTAGGGTGAATAAATTGGTGAGTTCATGGACAGTGTTGATTGAGCATATTTAACTAACCTCCTTTACAAACCATTGGCAGAAGGCTGGTGAAATCCACTCTCGTGCATGGACGCCACAATCCATAAATATAACTTTCTTCTGGCCACTTTGTTTCCCAACCTGTTTCCGGGGAAGATGAGATTTTATAATATTCTTCTGTTTACTCTGCACAGTAATTGATTTGTTTCTGGTGCTAGGATTAATTTGCATTTCCTTTGATTTGCCTACTTTTCCCAGCTTTTAATGAAATTCTCAGTTTAAAATTGCTTATTATAGGGAACTACATGTGTAAAACCATATAGTGAGAAAGTTGTATACTAAAATACATGTACATTTTCTTACTTTTTTAACAATACAGATAAGATGAACATTTGATGGAGTTTATAATGAAAAACATATGAAACTGAATGAACTAGAGGTAGGTTAAATCACATTTTCCATTGTAGATAAGTTTTTCCTGGTGTTAGTGAATGCAGCTCAATACTACAACTATTTGTTAATCTACTTTCTTATTATGCATTAGTGTAGATGTACACTTATTACTTGACTACTTGAATCAGACTAAAACTTATACCTTAAGGACATACATAGGTCTTTCCTCATAAGTCTTTCCAATCTCGATCTTGGAGATCAGTTTGGGATTCTTGTTGGCCATTCGTTCCATCCACGCAGTGATCTAAGTGGACCACATAATAATAAAATAAATATTAAAGTGATAGAATAAGTTTTGTTACTTTAAATTATCTAAGTAACTTAAAATAATCTTCTAGTACAGACTACCTTTTCCCATTCATTATATCTTGTATAGGAGTACTTCTTACGGAAAAGTTTCCCTCCATCAAACTGTTTTTCAATTTCTTCTTGTAGATTGTGGAATAAAATTCTGTGACAGGAAACATAATTACATTAAATATGCAGCTTTGCCCTCCCTGCACTCTTGTTTTTTTTTTTCCAGGATTTCTTTGGCCCAAGTCTACCCTACAGGCTCACATACATACATTAAAAAGTAGTCCTTCCTTCTCTCCCTTTCTCTTTATTAAAATGTACATTATAAACACAGTCTATGTGTTTTGCTTACATTAATCTGTAAATTTATAGAAGGAGTAGAGACAGCCAAGGGAATCTGTGTAGCGGTCAAAAAGTAAAGGTGGCATCCACAGTTGAATGATTAAAGCCCCACCCCCTTTTTAAACAGGGATAAGGCTTTGATTGCACAGTTGTGGTTGCCATCCTATTTTTTTTTCTTTTTGACAGATGTCCCTGAAGATAGGATTCAGCCCAATGATGCATTGTTTTTCACCCCCTGTGTGTTGCTGGAGGCAAATCTCAAGCCCTTCCCCTCCCCATGATATCACATAGCTCTTGGGCAGTTGATTCAAGGCCCTTGGAAGCAGTTTTTCCCTAGGAACTTTTGGATGAAATCTTCTCCAGCACCTTTTGAGAAGCACTGGCTCACTTTTTGTTTGCAGTTGAAATGTTTATATTTCCAGCTTAATAGTTTATTTTTTCTCAAATTTAGTCCATTGTATGATTTCTCAGTTTAGATAGCCCAGTTTGAAATCCATTTTTGTATGACTGCAATTTATAAATTTACTGGTGTGGCCTTTCATGACTGGCATCAATGAAGCAGTGATGAGCTTTTAGGCTGAAGACAGACCAATCGTCTTGAAATATCTTCAAAACGGATCAATCAGGTGAGGAACCAATCAGGAACTGACTTTCTTGGACTCCCAAGACATGGAGCAATCAGAGATCAGCTTGCCAGGTTTCTATATAAGAGCCCAGTCAGCCCAGTTCAGTTGCCTGTGTGCTGCTGAGAGGTTTACCATGAAGCAGCTCACTCTGCCTCTGAAGATGCCAGCTACAGCTGATGGCAAAACATCAGAACAAAAGAAAATTAGACCATGGCCATTCAGCCCAAAAGCTCATCAGTGCTTCAATTTATAAATTCTTGAAATAAATAGATGATGGATGGAACATAGATGGTTTATAGCCCGTATGTGAATCCTGGTGAACAGGTTCTTTTCTATCTACAAACGGAAGGAAAATACTAGATTTAAAATAATATGGTGAGCCTTTCTGAAATATGTTTTTAAACTGAGATATGTTTTTAAACTGAGAATGGTGAGAAATTGACTAATATGGATTTGTCATGGGCTGTCATATTAGTAAGTGCACCAGAAATACAATGTCATGTTATTCTATGCAACCTTTAATACTTTACTTCTAGTTAAGACAGGAAGTAGAGCAGCTTGGTAGAGGCAGAAATCAATATCTGATTCTGTGATATCCAGAAAGGACACATGCCCAGTGATGATGACATAAATTAGCTATTTCTATTATAAATGTACTGTTCAGTGCTGCAAAATAACTGAAAAATGAATGCCTGCTTAAGTATCATTTACTGTTTGCTAACTTCCTATTTTTCTGGTTTGTACTGGATTGCCCTCATTAAATAGAAATGATATTTAGATGAAATCAGTGGCAGAACTCCCACTGCTTCGAATGTCTCTGGATTTTAAAATCTGTAGTTATTGCAATACTACATCACAAGAGACAGTCAGGAAGTTGAATTGATATATTATTCAAGGAGCAGTAGTAAGAGAAGAGGGATATGGCTGTTTAAAAGAGAAAGCATGTCAAGCCTTTATGTTTATATAGAGAAAAGATAGATTGAAATCAAGCAGAATGAATGGAGAAATAGAATCTTAAATTGATTACCCTTTACTCAGGAATAGGGGGTTGGCTAGCTCCCTAGAGGCCTGGTGTTGCTACTATCGGCCTGCTGGATTTTTTTTTTCCTTTTATTTTGTAAACGTGTGCTGTTATAAATTTTAATTGTATATTTATTTATTGTTTTAATATGTTGTGAGCTGCCCAGAGACCCCCATTGGGAGATGGGCGGGGACAAGTTTAATAG